ATAGTTACCTTTTTATCTCTGCTTCTTTTCCTCTGTCTCCATAAACCCCAGTCGGCCTCGGCAGATGGCCGCTTACACTGAGCCTTGTTCTGCTGCAGGTCTCTTCCTGTTAAAAAGGAGTTTTTCCTCTCCACTGGTGCTATAGGCATTCTTATTGGGAAGGATTGCTTTCAAGTCAATGAGTCGTAGCAATCAGCTGGTTTTCCTTAGATAGAAAACCTTTAACCAATCTCACTGTATAATCTAGAATAACAGAGATCCAAGCCTAACTGAAAAACCTAAGTGAAAACTAAAATGAACCAAAACACAATATGTGTCCTTTTATTTATTTCTGCCCGTGTCCTTTCTAAAAGTTTATGCACACCACTGGAGGGTTCTCAACAGCTGTGATTTGTTTTTTATTTTTTATTTCTACATAATCGTATCTAGCACGTAGGGCCAATTAACAGTCGGAGACTAGATTTACCGTAATAAACGACAGGAGAAGGAGGGGCTGAGGAATAGAAGGTGGTAGATAATGTGAGTGCATTGAGGAGGAAAGAGACTGCGCTGTAGGAGTTTGAATTTTCAACCACCTTACAAGGAAAAAAGTTGGTGTTACCAACATCCCCCACAGGTACTAAAAACTCCATATCAGGTGCTGTAAAAAACTGCTAGATCCGCATCTCCTTCTATGTATTGTGGGTGCTTCTGTCATATTGGGGACAGCTTTTCACCAGGGAAAACTTTTGCACGAGAGCGGTCCCGTTAAAGTTTTTATTGTATGTTGGCTGGCTGAAAAAGAAACTCAGTGACTGGATGACAGTGAAAATTATTCTGATTGTAAGCTTTAGAAAAACAACTCAGCTGCTACATCATTTACATTATATTGAGCTAAGTTTATTTCAATTACATAGAAATAGGCCTACAAAAACACATATAAAAAACTTTTTGTTGAATTATATTATTTTAGAAGATAAAATAATGATAACAAATTTTAATAAAACTCTATAAGCTATGTTATCTTTTGCAGCTCCAGACTATTTTTAATTGATAGCAGGCGTAGAAAAAGTGTTACAGTTGTGATAAACTTTGACAACCCCCATTCTAGATTCTCCTGTAAGCGACAAGATTATACAAGTCATCTGATATCCTGTGGAAATAGAAAGTGAAAATAATTTGGTATGCCCTTTAGATCATCCTCCATTTTGAGACGAAGAGGCTGAAACAACCCATCAACATGTTATTAGAGGTAAGAGATAACTTTTATTCAGGTTCTGAAACCTTTTCTAGACATTTTACAGTTGCTTTCAGTTGTTCCACCACATTCTGTTCCTGGACATTTATTTCTGACTAATATTGACCAAGTTTTAGTAAGCTTGATTTCGGATTGTTGCTCCACCTCTCTGACACTTTTTCCCCTGGGCTTTCCCCAATTGTTTTATTTACATAATCAAATAATGATTGCAGCTTCTGAGTGGTTTTTATGACATAAGCCTTCTTCAAGATTAGTTCGAATGTCCCAAACAAAAGTATTTCTAAAAGACAAGCCTTTCCTGTCTTTCTGAGCGGTGCAACAGACGGCATGGATGTTAGTAATAAACAGAGCTATGTATGTACAGCCAACTCCTTCTTTGCCATCTAGGGACCATCTACAGTAGGTGGGAGATCTGATCAAAAAATAAAAGTCTGGAGTTGTAAGACTGATATTTAAAAAATTTTCCACATTTCATTCATCTGAGCATAGGCTCTCTCCGTCTATGCAGAAACACACCTTTTTTTTAAAACATTTTTTCTTTCAGTTGCTGACTGCTCCTCCCCTCCCTGCTCCACTGGTTTGGAGTAGGCACATATTTCTCTTTTTTTTCAATCCTGTCCCAACTTGCCTTTCCTTACACTTTCATGAGCAGGCAGACTCAGGATCGCCTGAACATGCAACAGTTTCTGACATGAAGATTGAACCCAAGTAAAAGCAGGAAGGGACAAACAACCTGAGCATTAAGATAGCAAACAGGAAGAGTGTCATGTTTCAAAATGTCATGTTTCAGGCTGATTAAAAAACATTCATATCTTCAGGTAACACAGAGTACATGTCAGACTTAATAATATTACTTTAGCGATAGTTTCAAGGTGTTTGCTTTATTGTATATCTTGTACCATGTATTTTGGTTGTGCTGTTCTTTTTTTTCATCTCATTGCAGGTGATGAAGCAGACTGAAAATGTTTTGTCATTGTCTCCTTTCTATCTCCTCTTTCTTTCATCTTTTGTCCTTTTTTTTTCTTTTTTTTTTTCCTTCTTCTTCTTCTGTTTTTCTGCTCTACTTACATTGCAGTGTCCATATAAACTGTAAAACTACCTGCATAATTATAATAAAGCAATTTATATACATGAAACAAGTGGAGCAGTATGGCAATTGCCATACCGCTACACTTGTGAAAGTAAAATCTGTTGGGCTCCTTTTGGCATCAAGAAAATTAATCTTATTGCCACCTTGCCAGACAGGACACTGTAAAAAAAACAACAACAAAAAAAAAACAACAGCAAGCTGTTGACATACAACATTAACTGGTTGATGTGTTTCTTTTTCTGTGCTGAATTTTCTTTAATGAAAGTGACGCTTTAATTATTGACTAACAATTTAAGGCCACAATTTATTTTTTTCCTTTATGTATTGGACTAGAAAGATTCTCTTCTGCTCATAAAAAAGTAATTTACTTTACCTTTTTAAATAAAAAAATTATGTGGATCTTTTTGCACTTTTTTCATGCATAGCACCAAGTACTGTAGAGGATTGGTCGTTGTTTTTACATGTTAATCCTTTTGGGGGTATCTAGGGTAAGGCCACCCCTTGCTCGTGTAACCTGTTGGAAAACAGAAAAGAACTGTTAGTTGCTGTACCTGAAAAAAAAGAAGAGAAAAAAAGAACCTACCTGTTACTTACATGAATATGGAAACAATTTTTTACAACAGTTAGAAGTGTTTTATATTTTTATATTTTCATTTCATTGGGTATAATTTTCATTTAATTAATAATTGTTGTCTTTATTTCATCCTGTATTTAATTAATTTTATTTTATCCTAGAGGTTTATTTCCGTTTTAAGAGTGGTTTTGTGATGGGAAAGAAATCCCATTCACTCACAGAGCTGAAGCTGAATTGCTATGGGATAGACCAGTGTTGTGCAAAAATAATGTCCTGCAGATAATGAATAGATGGTTAACTAGAACTGGAGTTACAGTTAATTATTTATCCTATTCAGCATCGAAGGCAAAATCAATTTAGTGTTCTTAGGTGGATAATTATAGCCTTGAATTATCTACTTACCGGTTGCTGATTCACCTCTGGAGGGTTCCTGGACCGGCTGTTAAAATCCAGGTATCCACCAGTCTAGTGGCCCACGTTAAATTATCAGCAAAGCTATTAAATTATCAATAAAGAACCTTCTATCTCTGTTTATTCGCACTATTACCAAAGGAATCGGGTTTACTCTGAGTGATTAACCCTCCGTTATATGAACGACCAAAACCACTACAGATTAACCAATGATGTCTTTATTCTAATAATTCAGGATTACAGAAATCTAACATCTATGCAAACACTACACACTACTAGAAAAATAAACACGAGGTAGATTAAATGACTTGTTTAAAAGAAAAATTGAAAATAAAGAATTAAACGAGATAGAAACAAAGAAATAAAACCATAAGAGTCCGTTTACTGGCGTCTGAAATTGTCCAAAATATGCCAGATATTAATACATTCACTAATGTCCGCTAGCAGCAGGTATGATAATAGTGCAATTGCTCATGTAACATTAACACATCCAGCTTAGTATTGGTAAATTATTAAACATGTATTAACAATAGCAGCGTTTAGCAAAAACCCCTTTTTGCCTGGCAATGTAGCAATGTGTGTGAATGGGTGTAGCTAAATGGGGGACCACCCCCCTTTGTTCTCCACGCAGTTAGGGGAACAAAGAGAAATGGGGCGGCAACCACAGGACCCCACGTGGCTGAATGTGATAACTTTATAACTATCTCAAAGCAGAAACAACAAAGAGGACAGGAAAGCCAAGAAAGAAAATAAAGAAGCACACACTAATTTCAACCAAATGAACAAACTCTTAATCAGCACAGATAAAAAAACATCAGCATTAATTCAAAACCCTAAACTGCCTTTCTCTCGCCTGAGCACAGCAATTCTGATGCATCAAAGGAAAGTAAATTGATTTTACTGTGAGATGCGTCGTCCGAGGGAGGTTGGCGTTTCCACGGCAACCGCAGCTTGGTTTCTGTCGGGCAGAGGGTTCTCCGCCACCGGTCCACCCCTCGGGAAAGTTCAGTCGGTTCGGGCTGCAGCAGAGGGCTTGATATGCTCACAAGTTGGAAAGGAGGGATTTTAGGAGGTGATCTTAGGAGGTGGTCGGCTAGAGAGCGTCCTCTCAGCCGATTCGTCCAAGGAAGGGGAAAACGAAAATCCGTGGTCAGCTTCAAAGGCTTCTGTCTCCCCAGTCGGCGCAGCCGCTATGCACGATGGAACAATGCGATCCGTGACTTTTGACGCAGGAAAACGAAAGCTACTTCCAGTCAGCTTTCTTCTGGTATTTCACGTGAAACGAGTCTCTCCTGACAGGCTCCAAACCCATGGAAAAAGAGAGAGAAGTCTTCTCGCGCCTGGCTTTTAAACCATGTGTGACACGGGAGCACTTCCTGTGGAAGTATCGGCTGATTTGTCTGTGCCATGAGTGACATGGTGGAACTTCCTGTTGGAGTATTCGGCTTATTGGTCCATTTGAGGTGGCCGCCTCCCACAGTGGGCCCGGTCTTCTTTGTTCTTGTTTTGGAGGTAATCCTTTGTTCTCCTTTGTGGGGAAGAGGAGGGGGATGGGTTTCAGGTGGCTAACAAGGGGGATGGTTTAGCCCACTGATTTAGCTCCATGTTGGTAATATACCTCAACACCAGCTCATGCCCCGCCCCTAGGAGCAAGTTAGTGAGATGCGCACAGATGCACGTGCAGAAACTGAGCAGAGCATGACGAGAACAGAGAGGCAGAAGCTGGAGTACAGAAAAGTGTAAATAAATATTTCTATACTGAGGAACTGTGGAGGAAAAGGAACCGTTTGGGCTGATACCTGAGCATCTGGAGAGCCACGGAGGAACGACCCTGGGACCTTACCTGGTTTCTAATTCTTTTCTTTTCCCGGCTGGGTTTTTTGGATACCCTGGATTCTGGATTCTCTCCTTAAATGGAGATGGCGAGCCAACCGTGTGAACATCTGGATTTGGACTGAAGAGGAGGATTTGGACTGAGGAGGACTTTCTTTTCTTGCATTCATCGTCCTGTCGGAGTGGTAGGACTAAAAAGAAAAACTCAGAGATTAAAAGGGAAACCCTTTTTCTTTTTACGTTGGGAAACAAGACATTTTATTTTATTTTTTTAAAGGGTGCACCCAATTTTAAGAGACTACAATTGAAAAAACAAACTGAAGGCCGGCCAAATTTGTAAAACTGTTATTTTTTCATATATGTTAATACACTTACTTCACAAAAAATTACCTGTGTGTTTTCCTCTTACTCAATCGGTGTCTTACTTTTTTTTTCATCATCACTCCCTCTTATGAATCTAGAACATTCTGGTCCAGTGTCACTTACCCTTCAGGTGGGTTACACTCGACCTCTGCACATCCCTACTTCAAAGGAAATTTACTATTTTAATTTATTATATCTGACCTTATGAATTTTTCTACAAAGCTGAAATATGACTCCAGCTTAGATTGGAAAAGGTCTCAAACACAGTTTTAACTTTGTTTTACAAAGCACTTAAAGAACAAGAATCACTAGCAGCTGACAGGTTTTGTTGTTTCTCTTAGACTCACTGAAGTCCAGAAGATGGAAGATCAAGCTCTAAAGGAGAACAAAGGTGAAAGTCCAGGGTCCAGTTGTCTGTCTATGAGGAGTGAGCGCTCCAGAGAAAGACCTCCAGTATTCAGTAATGAACCTGGATCCTTAGAGACGGAGTAAGAAATCAGTTTATGATTTATGTGATTCTGCAAAACTAATCAAAGTTGAAGCTTTCATTTTAAACTGACACACGGAGACTAAAACTTCTTACTTATTTTAGCTTTGTTTAGTTAAGAGAGCACATCAAACTTTGAGGACATATGTAATGAATGTCATTTGTGTCTTTGGAGACCTCTAACAGCTTCCAGGTTTCATTAAAGTCTAGAGTTCGATGGAGTAGGAGCAATAGCCAATATGTTTGGAAATTTATAGAAGGGAAAGAACTTCCTGCTCACACCTTCAAAATCAACCCAGCACAGCATTTATTTCAGGCCAGGTACTGACAAAAGGTCAAATGCTAGACTGCAGTCTAAAGTCTGAAAAAGCTCCAATTTCTTTTTTTCCCCCCTTTTAAATATGATTTCCACAAAGGTCTGTTTTTCAGAAAATACCATTATGTCCAAGACAAACTTTGGGGATTAGCTAAATTGATTTAAACATGATTCACCATTGATTTAAGCTTAGTTAAGCTATAGTTAACAAATATAACTGCACTAATTAACAATGAACTTAGAAACATACAGCTGATTAAAATGCATTACAACTGCCCAGTATATCAGGAGATTATTGGTGATCACAATACTATTGTAACTAGTCCAGTACAAGAGACTACATCTACATCTGTTAATTATATATCAGAACAGTAAAACTAGAGAGTGAACCCAGAAACAAAGTCCAAAGAATCATCACAAAGCCCGATTTAGTCAACACCAAATTTGTAGAAGGAAAAAAACCTGAAAACTAAATTACTTGTTTATTTTAGCACTTGTAGCATATCTAACTAATGAGCTATTCAGGAAAAAGCATTTTATAAAGTGACTGGATAAATACATACTAGGGCTGATTCCTGTATACTAGTGTTCCAACATTAAAATAGGATCCAACATTCTACTCTTGATTATATATTTGTCAGCTTTTGTCTCTTAAAGCCACTGATAAAAGCAATCTGTCTGACAGACAGAAGAATGATTAAAACAATCATGATGGTAATTTCAACAGAATTAAATACTTTAAAAGAGACATCATCAATGTTCTGAGGTTTTTTCTGACCCTGCTTCTGATCCTTTATTTGCAGTAGAAATGTATGTACATCATCTGCTTTAGAGGGCTAGCTGATCTTTAAGTAGTGAACTATCTCAGTAACTTTTTTTTACAGATGGAGTGAGAGAAACATTGTTAGGGAAAACGAGCAGCTGCCCTACTGCGCTTTGTGTCAGAATATCCTGTGGGACCCAGTCTCAACCAGCTGTGGGCACAGCTTCTGCAGAGCATGCATTGAGTCCTACTGGGTGCAGTCTGCTCAGTCAGGACACACCTCATGTCCCCACTGTGGAGAAAGACCTACAACAGGATCCAAACTGTGGACAGCCAATCAGAGCAGTTGTACAGCTGGTAAGACAGAACATTTTTAGTGCCTCTTTCCATTGACACTGTTGAACCAATTCCACAGCTTGGGTTGGGATTTGAAGATCATTATTATTAAAAGTAAAATAAATATGTAATATTAAGTATTTATGTAGTTAATTATTTTAAATAGATCTGTATTTCCATCTAGTTCAAATGTAGCACATTTTTTTATATAATGAATCTGTGGGATTTGCACTAAGGATATTTTGTTCTCAGACAGTTGTGCTAAATTAATTAAAACTAAACATCTTAAAAGTGGTGATAAATTTATTGCATGAAAACCAAGAAACTGAAATAAACCTGCATTCATGCTCCTTTTATAAGAGGGATGCAAAGTCTAAATGACACAAATCTAAATTTCCTCTGAAAATTGGTCAATAATTAGAATATATATATTTTAGTTCTAACATCTGTTGATTGGTTCTAAAGGGACACAATTTTTCTGATAAAATATTTAATATGTAAATTTTATATAATAATAATAATATAATCATTTTACATTTTATCAGAAAAAGTGTGTCTACACACCAAACACGTACTCTAATAAAACTACAACTCTGAGAGAGAAAAACTTACACAGGAGGTGATGGGTTGTGCCTACATTGAAAATGACACATGTATCAGCAAAATTTATGGAGATTAAAGTCCATCAGTAGGTGCTGTTGGTTGGAGAAGGTAAGATAGAAACAATAAAATGCAGATAATGGTGGCATGAGGCTCAAGGGTTCATGTTGCGTGTCTTTCTATTAGTATCATTACATCTTCTCTTGTTTCTGGCCATGAAACAGGGAGAAATTTGCTGGGTCAAAATTTAACTTATGTTTTGGCTATGTATGGTTGATATTGTTTAGAATCACTTTATGTGAAGAGAGACACCTTATAAGACACCTTTCTTTCTTTGTTTTTTGTAGATTTTGGACTGCAAGAGGTTCTAGAGGAACATAAGATCAGACTGAGGAAGAGATGTGAACATGTGACTGAAGGAAGTGATAAAACAGGAAGTAGTACCCTCTTTAACAAGATCTATACTGATCTCTACATCACAGAGGGACATAGTGAAGAGGTTAATACACAACATGAGGTGAAGCAGCTTGAAAGACTTTCCAAGATGCAGAACTTCCATGACTGTCCAATCAGATGCCATGACATCTTTAAACCCCTACCTGATCAACATGGATCCATCAGACTGGTACTGACCATCGGTGTTGCTGGTGTTGGAAAGACCTTCTCTGTGCAGAAGTTTACGCTGGACTGGGCAGAAGGCTTGGAAAACCAAGAATTGAGTTTGGTGGTTCTGCTTTCCTTCAGGGAGCTGAACTTGATCAGAGAAGAACAACACAGTCTTCTCTCTCTGCTTCATGTTTTCCATCCAACCCTTCAGAAGCTCCCTGCAGAGAAGCTGGCTGTCTGTAAACTTCTTTTCATCTTTGATGGCTTGGATGAAAGCAAACTTTCTCTAGACTTCCAAGAGAATTGGCCTTTTTTTGATATCACACAGAAATCATCAGTCAAAGTTCTTCTTACGAACCTCATCAAGGGGAACCTGCTTCCCTCGGCTCTCGTCTGGATAACTTCAAGACCTTCAGCTGCCAATAAAATCCCTCCTTCATGTATTACCAGGCTAACAGAAGTAAGAGGCTTCACTGATACCCAAAAGGAGGACTACTTCAACAGGAGGTTCACCAATGAAGAGCTTTCTAGCAGAATCATCTCCCATGTTAAGGCCTCAAGGAGCCTCCATCTCATGTGTGGAATCCCTGTATTCACCTGGATCACTGCTACAGTTCTGGAGAATCTGTTGACCACAGAGCAGGGAGGAGAGCTACCCAAGACCATGACTGACATGTACTCACACTTTCTGCTAGTCCAGACAAAGAGGAAGAGAAACAAATACTGTGGTGGACATCAGATTGGTCCCCAGAACCTGATGGAAGCTGACAAAGAAGTTCTTCTCAAGCTCGGGAGGCTGGCATTAGAGCATCTTGAAAAAGGAAACATCATGTTCTACCAGGAAGACCTGGAGCAATGTGGCCTTGATGTCACAGAGGCCTCTGTGTACTCAGGAGTTTGTACAGAGATCTTCAAAAGAGAAAGTGTCATCTTCCAGAAACCAGTCTACTGCTTTGTTCATCTAAGCATCCAAGAGTTTATGGCTGCAGTCTACATGTACAACAGTTTTACCAACAAGGACACAGAGGTGGTGGGATGTTTCCTGGGAAAATACCACAATTACTCTTCTTTAGATGATTTCATGAAGAGACTAATGGATAAATCTCTCAGAAGTAAAAATGGACATTTAGACCTGTTCGTTCGCTTCCTTCATGGCCTGACTGTGGAGTCAAACCAGCAACTCTTGGGAGGCTTGCTGGGTCAAAGTTACAACAGTCCAGAAACTATTCAGAGAATCATCAATAATTTGAAGGAAATGAATACTGATAAAATCTCCCCTGACAGAACAATCAACATCTTCCACTGTCTGATGGAGATGAAGGACCTCTCGGTTTATCAGGAGATTCAACAGTTCCTGAAATCAGAAAACAGGTTAGAGAAAGAGCTAACAGAGATCCAATGTTCAGCTCTGGCCTACATGCTGCAGATGTCAGAGGAGGTCCTGGATGAGTTGAACTTGGAGAAATACAACACTTCAAAAGCAGGGCGACGGAGACTGATTCCAGCTGTAAGGAACTGCAGAAAGGCTCGGTGAGTTTAGATTCCTTCGGTGCGCAATGCTGATTTATCACTGAATTGATTTCTTTATGCTGAGATTTTTTTTACAATCTATCCTGCTAAGGATAAAAAGAAAAATATGATTTTTTTCTTCCTCTCACCCATTGTTATCCTTTCCTCTCTTTTTACCAACTGTAAGGGCAGCGCCTTTAATGGCAGTAAGGCCTCAGACAACATGACCCCCATGTACAATTTATGTCTTTTTCTTGGATGTGATGTACCGAAAGTGAATTTCGCCATACTTGCTCCAGGCTTCTCTAGTCTGGGTGACAAATAAAGTAATGAATTAATCTCTAAGGAACCCAGCAGATTGCATGAAGTCACTACATATAAAATAAATGACCATAAATAGTCTGTTGTTTGATTTCTTTAGAGCTAATGTAGAATGTAAATATCTGGCTGGCTTGCCAAATATGGAAGCAGTTGTACTGCGTTATGTAGTCCTGTTTCTGACCTTATGCTCACTTAGCAACACAGAGAATGCAGCATGTAGACAGGGTGTCTACATACTGGAAGTCATGTACGAATCTTGGCAAAAACAGGGTTCTTACTGGCTGACTCGCACGCAATCACAGGCTGCTCCAGCTCCGCTGTCGAAGGGACAGATACAGGAAATCTTTCCTACCATATGCCATCACATTGTACAATAAAAAATAAACTCTTGTTTCAGCATACAGTAACCAGCACTGTACTGTACTGCACTCCATATTTTAATACTTATTTATAATCTGTTCACTGCACCTCAGGGCTGTTCACTGCACCTTATGTAAATTACCCTTATTATGTAAATTACCCTTATTATGTAAAT